TTAATTTGTGGGAATATATGACAAATCAATTTCATCACAAATATCCAAGCCGAGATGAAAAATTATATAAAAGTAATATTCAAATATGAAGTAAGAACTTGTTTATACACATTGCCACTCTGGTAGTACTGGAGGCTAATATATGAAACTGGCAGAGACACATAAGTAATTTATGATGCTGTTTATTGAGGCGTTTCGCAGACAGCAATCCCAATGAATATTTCCATAACGTTACCAATCGATTGTAACTGATAATTAGGTACAGTATTATCGCCTCAATCATCGGACCTGTTGTCACTGAAATCCTCTGTGGAATGTTTCCATCCTGGTATATCTTTTCTGGAATGCTTCTACCAATTGTCTCAACAGCCGGAACATCTTACTGCTTAGAACATACGTGTATATATGAACAAATGTTCACTGTCATCGTCAAAATATTTGGAATCACATTGTGCAGGGTTGACCTGGACGAATGAAGAATTCTGACAAAAACACCAGGCACTGTCCTCAACATATATAGCATGGTTATGTCACAGTAATACTGCGGATAATCTATCTTATGTGAACGGAAACATGAAGCATAACCAAATAGTAAAATCAGAAAGTAACAAATGATGCAACTATGAATACAATCTGTAAAACACTGAGACCTGTCAGTGGGTCACTCTAACAGTTTGTAGGGAAAGTAAAACACTGAGACCTGTCAGTGGGCCACCCTAACAGTTTGTCGGGAAAGTAAAACACTGAGACCTTTCAGTGGGTCACTCTAACAGTTTGTAGGGAAAGTAAAACACTGAGACCTTTCAGTGGGTCACTCTAACAGTTTGTAGGGAAAGTAAAACACTGAGACCTTTCAGTGGGTCACTCTAACAGTTTGTCGGGAAAGTAAAACACTGAAAGTAAAACACTGAGACCTTTCAGTGGGTCACTCTAACAGTTTGTAGGGAAAGTAAAACACTGAGACCTGTCAGTGGGCCACCCTAACAGTTTGTAGGGAAAGTAAAACACTGAGACCTTTCAGTGGGTCACTCTAACAGTTTGTCGGGAAAGTAAAACACTGAGACCTGTCAGTGGGTCACTCTAACAGTTTGTAGGGAAAGTAAAACACTGAGACCTTTCAGTGGGTCACTCTAACAGTTTGTCGGGAAAGTAAAACACTGAGACCTTTCAGTGGGTCACTCTAACAGTTTGTAGTGATAGTAAAACACTGAGACCTTTCAGTGGGTCACTCTAATAGTTTGTTGGGAAAGTAAAACACTGAGACCTGTCAGTGGGTCACTCCAACAGTTTGTAGGGAAAGTAAAACACTGAGACCTTTCAGTGGGTCACTCTAACAGTTTGTAGGGAAAGTAAAACACTGAGACCTTTCAGTGGGTCACTCTAACAGTTTGTAGTGAAAGTAAAACACTGATACCTTTCAGTGGGTCACTCCAACAGTTTGTAGGGAAAGTAAAACACTGAGACCTGTCAGTGGGTCACTCTAACAGTTTGTAGTGATAGTAAAACACTGAGACCTTTCAGTGGGTCACTCTAACAGTTTGTAGTGAAAGTAAAACACTGAGACCTTTCAGTGGGTCACCCTAACAGTTTGTAGTGATAGTAAAACACTGATACCATTCAGTCGGCCACTGTTAGTTAAGAGACAGAGTCTTTAACGTAGTGCTAACGGTTATTAAATTTTTATCGCAAGTAACTGTTTTAGATAGCGATGTGCTAATTTTAAAAGACAAGTGAGAAACAATTTGATTTTCTCAATTAGAGGCATTTTGTTTTGCTTTTTAAAAAAAAACGTGACCTCGTCCCGCCATCGAAATACGGATATTCCCCATACTTAGCTAAAATGGGCGGGACGACCTTTCCCAGCGGTATTTGTGGCGAGAAAGACGGGATGCCGCGGACAATATATAAACCTGTTAAGAGCTCTGAATTGGACATTGCTATAAATAAGTTTGAAAAACATATCAAAATAAATTCAAGTAAGTTTCTGTCCAATTTCAGGTTTGTTATCATATCTTATAATGCATGTCAACTTTCAATGTGTAATGACAAGTAATGAGAAAATAACGAAATTGATTTATTGTTTTGTGAAATAATCCATTCTTTCACACTAATGTTTTCTGTGTCTGTTAATTCCGAAAGAAGCAAACTAACTTCAGCATTCAATTCTGGCGAACAGCCAAAACAGAATGTTTGTATACTTTAAATTGGTCCTGAAGCTGACACAGATCAATAATTACCTGTGGTATCAATTGGTTCACGTGCGATGTCGTCAAATGTATCCATGGTTCCATCCAGTCAATCGATAGCAGTATAAAGGCAGGGTAGTGCGGGCCTGTCCTAGAGAGCTGCAGAACCCATCCAAGGCAGGTATGTACAAACAATACAATATAATTCTCAAGGTGCGCTGTTATGCTGCAACACCGAAAGCTTCGGTCTCTTAAAACGGTGATTTCATTCCATCTAATGAATGTCATTTTATGTTCGTTGTGAAAAAAGGAAATAAGTTTATCAAAAGTTAATGATACAGACATGAATGAGCCGTTGTAAAGACCGATATATTTGTTCTGGATAAAGATAGCGATGTCAATTTTTACATCTGATGTGAAATATTATACATAGACAGGCCAGTCAAGTTTTAGCTGTATATCAATAGATCAATATAGCATATCTATATAAGGAAAATGTTATAATTGATGTACTGTTACAAATAGAAAGTACGTTTTTTTCTTTTGTCGTAACTATGTTTACACCAAATACAGTCCGAGAAAGTCACTTTAAGATATTGAATAAGAATTAATATAACAAGATCATCTCGACTTCCTAAAACGGTATGTAGTCATATATAACTTTACCTTTGAGCGTTTCTCTTTCAAACAAATACGTTCAAATTTCTCAAAAGCTTCATTAAAACTACTCTAAAACTGTTACCACTGTCAAAATAATTTCGGAGTCATTGGCCTCACAAGTAACTTGTGATAAATGAAATAAAATTTTCAATTCGCTGTGTCGCACATTAAAAGCTGCACTGTATATCGGGTATACGACACCCGTCATACTTGGTGGCTGTTTAGCCAGGTACATCTGAAATGAAGGTCAGTTAGAGGTCAACGTCGAATACATATACAAAGCATTTTCAGTAAATCTATAATATTTAGTTTTGCATCATTTTTACTGTGTAGGAACATCAGAAATTTGATATACCTACACCGTAACGCGTCAGATACCTACACCGTTACGCGTCAATTACTTACACCGTAACGCTTCAGAGATTTGGGAATTCCTTAATATTTCCTTTTTCATTGATTTGAAGCTGACGATGAAGTTTCCAATTTCAGAAAGGGCACGCCAAATTAAATGATGTATGGAGAATTTTTAAAAAATACAAATTTTGTTTGGCACAAGCTTTTATATGTATAAATTGCATGAAACTGGTGTGGTTCCCTCACACTGGCTGAAAGGTTGACAAATAATTACGTGGTTATCCAAAAAGGTAACCAGTTTGGAAGACGAAATCAAGTACCAAAAGCTCAGCGACCAATTTTTGTTCAAAAGTTATTTGTTAATCTTTGTGAACAAATCATATCTGATCTCGATTTCGAAAATTACTTAAAATAAATACATAAATAATTTTTTTAAATGAAAGGAACTTTTACAGTTGTTTACATTTCTAATTCTTAAGTAAGAAATTTAGTTAGAAACTCTAACCGCATTGTAAACTGGGCAATGGGCATGGATACCAGAATTAAAGAAAATGTACAGACTGTATACTATTGCTGTCTGTCAAAAACGAATCATCGTCAAATAAGGAAAAAATACACCAAATTACAAACAATTCTAAAAATAAACGATCGAGATCAAATGATAATAAGATATGTTCATTTAAGATACTGTAATTGACAATCATAAAATGTCCGTACTAATATGTATATACTGAGTTGACCTCTTTTCACACAGAGTCAAGTGTATCCAAAAGATTTTTTTTTATAAATATTGTTCCTAGATCCAATAGTGTGTTGTACAAAGGTCATGCAGAGACTTACGATGTGTTATACAAATTCGACCTTAGCATTTATAGAACCATATCATCAGATAATGGTCCGTTGATTTACCTGCCAATACAGTAATTAAAAATGATTAAGAACAAATAAGACGAGAGACGAGAAAAGAAAATTTTGTCTTTATCTTATCTTCTTTTGTTTTGTTTTAAATTTAGTCGGAATTAGTCTAACGTTTTATGGACTTTTCTCCATCGAGTTGGATTCATCTACTCCAAGTCAATATATGAAGATCGATAAAACGTCTGAATAATTCGGAATACGCTGGATAGAAAGAAAAGTATTTTGTATTTTTATTCTTAAAACAATAGTGGAACATTTTATTTCAATCAGTCAACTTTTTAAACTTATTAAAGAGTCACACAATATATATGCAAAAGATGAATCGCATAGGTCACAAAATACATGAGAATATCTTAAAAAGCTTTATATTGCCCAGCGGATTTACTAAGGACGTTAAACCTTATTTAGCTAAATGCTAGTTTACCTCAAGGTCTTCTTGGTTAGTAAAATGAGCTAGTTACGTAATACCAATATTAATATTTACGTAGATAATTATATAAATTAAAACTACCTAAAACACAAGAATATGGGTAGAATGTTATTACAAGCAATATTATTTAGCTGGAATCCAAGTTTACACAGAAAGGGACCAGGTCATGCTTAAAGTATTTAAGTTGAATTACTGGAGTATCATACACATACGTGCTGAGATTTATTTCAGGTTCTATCCTACCTTTTATTTTATGAAATTCTGGAATCTTAAATCTTTAACTTAGACTCAAGAGTTACAATGCCAAACTATTCTTTGAATACTTCGTTGAGTCCGATCATTTGTGATCATTATTTATGTATTCATGAATTCCAGAAGACATGAGTAAAGGGAGATAACTTTCTCAATACATAAATGACGTCACGGTTGGGCAGCCATGATATTGCCCATTCTCAAAAATCGATACTAGGTCAGGTAGTGTACAAGGTAAACTGCCATTTCATTTGTGTCGATAATCAGCAGAAATATGTACATGTGAGAGCTGTGACTGATATTGGAAGTAATTTCTGTGTCTTATTCTGAACAGGAAAAGAAAGAAACTTCGTAAACACACTTTTGGCGAGTTGTCAAACTCATTGTTGTTTCGGGTACTGTGCTGTGATCCGATCAAAGAGTACGAGCTGAGAGGATTATGCCGAAACAACGTCCTGATAGTGCGCAATCCCGCACGGCCTGGTCAGACGATCTGGATTTTGGATCAGGTCATGCAAGACCCGACAACCAATTCGAATTCCGGCCAAGAGAAGACCCTGATTTACCAGATAGCCCCGATGCAATGGAGAACGAATATGGCCAGAAACCGAATTCACGATCGGATCGGGGAAAGGAGCAGACACAGGTTGCTAAATCAAAACCTACCAGCTTCTGTGGCAAGATTGGAAAGGGAATCAGATGTGAGTAGAGTGGTTTTTTCTCTTCTTTTTCTTTTGTTCGTTTTTTTGTTCTTTTTTAATTTTTGTTTGATTGTTTTTAATTTCCTAATTTGTTATTATAGACCTACGATAAGTTTTTGTACTGAACAATATGACTGTTACATATAAGAAGCTGTTATAATAAAGTTCTGGCTTAAAAGACGTTTTGCAACACCTAGGTATAATGATAATGTAGTGATATAAAACAAATAATATAGTGTATATAATGAACACATGCCTAACTAAGGCCTCTATATCCATGAAAATGAAAATTCCCTGAAAATCATGACAAAACTCATCAATACATCATGAAATATCATTACTTTACTCATTATCCAATGACGATACAATTTTAAGAATATGTAAATTAGATATGCTTTTAAATTCAAAGCTTAATTTGGAGGCAAAATAACATTAAAACTGCTACACTCTTATTCAAGTCCACAGAATACACTACATTAATGTGTGTATAGAACTAAAGTCCAGTTTTTGGATGACGTGTTTACCTACCATATCTACTTCAATTGTTCTGGTCCTACCTACTGATACTTTGAGGTATTGATTCCCTAACACCTGAATTATTTAGACCAGTGTATACTAGGCATAACCTCCAAAGCTACATTGGTGCCAGTTACATGGATAATTGAGTAGAATTTTTATTGATCCCATGTAACTTTCTGTTATGAGTGTATTGATTTTACAGGTAAGCTGAAACACAACATCAATGCAAAACAAAGATCTGGATATAGATTTTCCATCGTTTACATATTGTATGATGTTGTTGTAGGCTATAGAATTCATTATCATTGATTTCACAACCTAGTGAAACAGGATGATTATCGATTAAAAATGATGTACCTGTATATAATCAAACGTCCTTTCTTGAAGCCATTGTTACTTTTATGGTTATAGATTTAAAAGTGGAATAAGGTGCTGCATAAGAAAGGCATAATGACCAGTTAATGCAAATTTATTGATTGCATTTTTAAAACAAAAATAAAGCAAAAACCTGCAAAGTGTTTTTGCAATATATGTATCCCTTACACTAGGCAATATGGTTAGAATAAATCATGAAAGACAAATGAAGAAAAAAGCTAAATATAAAAAATATGCAAGTAATAATCAATAATTAATGGTGGCTTTGATATTGCATGGAGATGGCAAGTTTTTTTTTTTTTTTTATTCATAATATTTTTATTTTTCGATGATTTTTCAAAACTTAAATATATGAGATGGCAAGTTCTTGTATAAACCACAAGTTTTGTTGGATAATAAGAATTTGAAATACATTGTACATGGACTGTTGTATTCATGTGTTCAATGTAGTACAATATTCATTTGCTTTAAATACCAGGCCAATGAACAGATTGAACTATGGCATGGTTTACCTGTGTATACATATGTGTATATTGTTTTGGTCAACTTAAACGGCTTGAATCTTTTCAGCCTTGGCATTAATACTTAAAATTCAAAATAATGGAACAATATTTAAACTGAACTACATCATGTCCAGTCATATCAATAGTTTATATTTATACTAAATCCTGATGCAACGAGGACAGACAACTCCTGGTCATCAGATTTAAGATTTAAGAACCCAATTAGAAATGATGTTATAGGTTCTGATTAGTTGGTAGAAATATAAAATGTTTTCAACATCTTTGTTTATACTCGATTGGTTTTATTGAACATCATAAAAACATAGACCCATCTAATGAATTGAAACAAATGAGTTATATGATTTTGTAATATATTTAACTATTTGAATGTAATATGTATGCTGTTGATGCTATGATGACAGTGCAATAATATTCCATTCAATCTGTATAAAAAAAACATGTACCTTTCAGAGTAGATTTATGAAAGACCCAATTGTGTCCACAATATGACAGTTGGGTGCCTTGTGTGACATAAACCATCAGGTTGAAAACAAAAAGACAAAAAAAATTGCCATACATTGATATTGTAAAATTCACTTGATTGGACTTTACATGCTTAGCCTAAAAATTAGAATCTTGTTCCTGAAGTACTATTAATTAGGCATATGGGTTAAATATATTGACCAAGAAAACAGGACTTCATACTAGTGTGAAGGACAAACAAAAAGTTCAAACTGGCCTTTACCTACTCTAAAGACTACGGGTTGATAAACCTCTTAATTGAATTAATATCAAGATATTTGATCAGTAGGTTGCTGTTGTGAAGGTTTATACAGTTTATTATAGGATATCAGTAATTTTTTAGCTCACCTGGTCCAAAGGACTGGTGAGCTTTTGCCATGGTGCACGTCATCCCTTGTCTGGTGTCTATCAAAAAATTGTTGCTAGTTATGAACGATTGAATCAATTTTTTTACTAAATTTGGTTAGAAGCGTCCTCAGGGAAGGAGAATCAAGTTGCTTAGATGGTGTTTTTCTGCCTCCAGGGGCCTTTTAGCAAGTTCTTTGAAAACCTTATATAGTAAAGATAAGATTTTGTTTTATTTGGCCATTAAGTTTATATAAAAGGAAATCCAGGTGAGCGATACAGGCCCCATGGACCCATTTTTTTACTTCATTTCAATGCTGTAAAATAGGTCTTTGTGACAAAATCTTAATGCATGTATATAATGCTTTATACAGCACTCTGGGCCACCCGTCAGACTGAGGAGACAAAGGGAAATCGAGAACTCCATGTCAAGACCACTCTCAGAGAGCTGATCATCTACATTGTATTTTTGGTCATTCTCTGTGTTGGTAGGTACAGATTACTGACTCTTGTGAAAAAATGGTGCATCTGATTAGTTATCTTACCTTTAAATGTTTTGTAAATTGGATTTGAAAAAAATTGTGAAATTAGTGTTGTTTACTTTATGAGGAGTATTTCACTTCTAAAATAAAAAAAATCTTAAATAAAACAAGATGGGATGTCCTGACAATGTGTCTTTATGATGAACAGTGACCTTTGGAATGACTTCGACAAAGATGTATTACTACACCAAGGTTATGAGTGACCTGTTCCTCTCAACATCACACGATGGTGGTGGCACTTTCCAAACCCTCACCAATGTTGATGATTTCTGGAAGGTAAGTTATATGACTCAATATTTGTCATCTACAGTACAGTGACTCTGTATTTTTTTTTTTTTTTTTTTTCAAACTGATTGGTCTCTTTGCTTGTAGGTAAGTGGGTTCACAAAATTTACAAGTCCAGCAGGAAAAGTGTAGAAATTAAATATCCAAGTCCCAGAAGTCACTGTTGGCTTCTGAGAACACAACTATCGCTTAGAAACTGAAAATATGAATGCTGGATTGAAAAAGAAAACAAAAATGTTATTCTGTTTATTTACAGTTCAGCCGGCAGACTCTGTTGAAGGGACTGTATTGGGAAAAATGGTACAATGGTGAGGACATCACAAATCCTGATGACCTTGGTTACATCTACTATGAAAACAAGTTACTTGGTATACCACGACTGAGACAGCTGAAGGTCAGCAGGAACTCCTGTATGGTTCATGAGGACTTCATGAATTCAATCCGTCATTGCTATGACTCCTACTCGGAGAATTTGGAAGACAAAACATCTGATACCGCGTCCCACCCTGGTTACACAGCGTATGTAGCAGAACTTACCCTTTAACAAATTAATGAGTACTTGTATTTCAGATTGATGATAAGAGAAACTTAAGTTTCTTTACTTGGCAACCCTTGCCACTTTAGAGAGAAAATCTAAATGTTGTCCCAAAATAGTCTACTTTGCTTAGTTTTGACTAAAGTTGGATCTATGTATGATGCTGTCTTTTACCTCACTTTTTTCTCAGACAGTTACTGGTAATGAGATCTCTGATTGGTTAAAAACAATTTCCAATAAGTTTGTAATATTAAACATTTTCCTTCAGAGGTGCTTATGTCAAAAAAAATGGAGAGAGTGTATTAAACTGTACTAAAAATGGTAGGAATCTGATGAGACAAAATGAATGAATTTCTGAAATTAATGAAATAATTGAGGGTCTGGACGAATGTGAGTAAAAATGTGTTTAAGTTGGAAGTATGAGATTGATTTTGATACTCATGATATTCATTTTTTTTTTCAGAGGGGGTTGGGAAAGCAATAGGCTGTCTCTTACTGGTATGCTTTTGTTTGCACAGGTGGACATATAGGACAGAAGATGAACTGGAAGGGTCAAGCCACTGGGGTCAGCTGACAACATACAGTGGTGCAGGTTATGTTCAGGAAATGGTTGGGAACAACTACACATCTGCTAAAGCACTGATGGACCACCTGTTCAATGAACGATGGATAGACCGGGGCACAAGGGCAGTCTTTATTGACTTTACGGTCTACAATGCCAACATCAACCTCTTCTGTGTCATCAGGTGATTAGTTCATTTTAGTTCTATCAGAATGTTATGTTTTGGTAATAATCCTACTTTTGTATTTGGAACAAGAAGAAAAAGTTCATTGTATATGTTTGTTTAACAGATTCCTGGTGGAGTTCCCAGCAACGGGTGGTGCCATTCCATCGTGGACTTTCCGAACAGTAAAGCTGATCCGCTATGTGACTGTTCAGGATTACTTCATTATGGCTTGTGAATGTATCTTTTTCCTCTTCATTGTTTATTACATTGTGGAGGAATCTCTGGAGGTATATATTTTTCTTTTATTTATTTTGCTCTGAAAAGCAGAAATATTAATGTTTAAGTGAAAGTATAAATGGAGTCCATTTTAAGAAATTCATTTTTACATTTACAAAAGGTCAGTTTTTCTAATTATAGATCAAGAAGCACAAACTGTCCTACTTCAAAAATGTTTGGAACATCCTTGACATCCTGGTGATCTTGATAGCAATCCTTTGTGTGGCATTTGATGTGTATCGAACCATGGCAGTAGACAACAAGCTAAGTGTGCTACTGGCAAATCCAGACAAATATGCTGACTTTGAGTTCCTCAGCTACTGGCAGACTAGGTTTGACAATGCTATTGCCATAGCAGTCTTCCTGGCCTGGATCAAGGTTTGTCTAAGTTAAAATAATATTCATTACCAATTTTCTATTTGCACCACATACTGGATAGATCATGTAATAGTTATTATGTAATGGGTATTTGATTTCCTGCTTACCTAGGTGCTTATAGGCCCAGGGAAGTGTTTTTGGGTCTTTAGAATGCATTCATGTGGGTCTTCCTTGGATTTGTAGCATGCTTTTATGAAGGGGTTTGACCTTGCATTACCTTGACCTATATTGATTTTCACAGAGGTCAATAGATTAACTTAATGGCTTATAATTGATATTTTCATTTTTTTCATTATAAGAATGCATTTGTAAATTTTATTGAAGTTTTGTTACTTATGAGAAATACTGAAAAATTAATGACAAACAAAAGAAAACAATTCCCAATTCAAATGCACCAGTTTATATTATGATTTCAAATCTTATCCAGATCTTCAAGTACATCAGTTTCAACAAGACGATGACCCAACTGTCCTCCACTCTTGGACGCTGTGCTAAGGATTTGGCAGGTTTTGCTGTCATGTTCTTTATCATTTTCCTGGCCTTCACACAGCTAGGTTATCTCCTCTTTGGTACACAAGTGAAGGATTTCAGTAATTTCCAGAACTCCTTGTAAGTAAAAATTATCAAGTCATTTTATTGAAATGTCTGTTGTAATTTGAAACTAAAAATGGTAAGATAACAAAATTCCATTTAAAACAAAAACACCATCTATTCAACTAATTCAGAGTGTTCTTAATGTTGATCAAAGGTTTCATAATAAAAATCAAAAAACGTAATGCAAAAACTTTTTCATGAAGTGCATATTCTTGCAAAATGAAATGTGTTTCAGCAAACAAATATATGAAAAATGTTGGCAATTTCAGCTTCACACTGTTCCGTATCATCCTTGGAGATTTTGATTTCCATCAACTGGAAGCAGCCAATCGTGTTCTTGGTCCAATATTTTTCATGCTGTTTGTGTTCTTTGTGTTCTTCGTTCTGATCAACATGTTCTTGGCCATTATCAATGACACCTATTCTGAGGTGAAGGGTGACATGGCAAATCAAAAGAATGAGTTTGAGATGGGTGACTACTTCAAGAGGGTAAGGCTGCAGTGTACATGTAATTATGATTTCATTATCAAATTTGTATTCAAAAAAGGACAACTGAATTAATAGTTAATCAATTTTGCTCTAATAGTGTAAGAAATCAGTAATTATTGATACAGATATTGGTATGTATGAATTACACCATGTACAAACAAAATCCTTTGTAATTCTCCATCCATGAAGAATATTTATTTCCAGAGATTTTTTTGTTCATGTTTAAATTTGATGTCATTTGACCCCACCTGTCAACTCTTGTTAATTCAAAGCCTTGTTTCTTATGCTATTAAATACCACTCAATGACAATAACTGATTACTTTAAAGTTCAAACCATTTCCTTCTGAAGAAAAAATGAAGGCATTTTTAAAATTTATCACGCTTTACAAACTGTACTGAAGAGTACTTGATGTAAAGATATCTGGATTTAAAAGGATTAAAAAATGAACATCTTTTATCCCATCACAGTATTCAGTCACATTAAACTAAAAATTTGATCAAATTAATACCGGTATGGAAATAATGTAGATTTTAAACAGACTTTTCAAATATATTGACAGATTCATTTGCTCTTGATTTAGGGTTACATGAAGATGGTTGAAAAAATCAACTTCAAACGTGACAAGATCATTGACATCCAGGAAGCTTTGAAGAGTGCTGACATTAACCATGATCAGAAACTGCAGTTTGAGGAATGGCGCACAGATCTGAAAACGTGAGTTGTTCACATTATATATTCTCAGCTGTTCTGTAGATATTGGTGTAATCTTCAAATGATTAAAAATTTTCTGTTTTTTATGAGTGATTATTTCACAAAGATCAATATTTCCAAACACATTCATCATTTGTCCTTTAATTACCAATACAATGTAATTTCTGATATTCTGAAAAATCATAGGGATTTTATGACAAACATTATTATTGTAAAAAAGTTATTTCAAATTTGAAAACATTCATTTCAGATTATATTGTAGTGGTCATTGGTCAACACTTAAGGGTCAAACGTAGCACATGACCACTTTGAAATAAAAAGATCGGTATGGGGATATCGTAACATCTTAGTTAGTCCCTAGTTAGTATTGTTCTTTCTAACAATCTCTTTAAGTATCAACTTCAGTATTATTAAATCTGTCGCATACCTGTGTTTTAATGATGATATTGTCCAAGTATTAACAATTCATGATGTGGATTTAAAAGTCTACAAAGATCCTATGACTAAACACTTCCCTGATTGTTGGCATCATCTTATAATTACTAGATAGCCTTGTAACATTTCATCAGATTTACTGAATCATGTTCTCTTGCTAGTCGTGGATATGCTGATAGTGAAATTGAAGCTTTGTTTGCCAAGTATGATGTTGATGGTGACCGAATCCTAGATGCTGATGAACAGAAATGTTTGGCTAAAGATCTCCAGGACCAAAAGGTGAGAAAGTTTGTAATAAAATATTTCTTGTAATGATTGTGTAATTTATTCATGGAATTTTGTTTAGAATCAAGTGAAGATTTGTTGAGCTTGCTAAAGGCACCTGTGACTTTTACTGTAAAACCGAGATTGTGAAGTGTTTTTTTTTATTTTGGACTGGTATTTCAGAAAATATACTATAGTTTGAATGCAGTGATATTTCTTTGAATTGTGAAGTCATTTATGGTTCATTTAGGACACTCCTTTATTTAATGATGTAAAATTAACTAAGTGGTGTTATTGAAATAAAAAAACAGAAATCAAAACGGGAAATATTGTATGAACTTATTTTTTGTGTCTTACGTGTTAGTTACATGTAAATTTTTCATCACAGACTGCTATAAATAAAGAATATGATGACTTAGAGAAGACAGGAAATAGACCAGGCACAGCCCGCAGCAGAACAAGTTTCAATGACGATAGTGCAGAGGAATCAGATGACGATGAAAGTGGCACCAAATCATCACGCTCTGGACGGGCATCAAGTGGTGTTTCATACGAAGAATTTACAGTACTCTCACGGAGGGTAGACAGAATGGAACACTCCATAGGCAGTATAGTTTCAAAAATAGATGCAGTATTGGTGAAATTAGAAGCTATGGAAAAAGCTAAATTAAAAAGAAGGGAAACAATGGGAAAAATACTTGACAGTATAACAGAGGTAGGTATCACATAAATGTTTCAGTTTCTTTATGACAGTAAAGGAATCGATAAATAGGTTTAACATGTGTTCAGTGATTTTACAAACTCAAAGGATTGTTGTTGTGCTCTATTAATGTTTACTTGTCACAATGTGTTTGTGTTTATTCACAATTTTGACATTCAAATTGATTCATTTGTCACAAAGAGTCTTATTTCCTCTGTGAAATAACTCAAATTTGATTTGCAGTGGTTCACTTATGATCCAACTCATATTTAACATGTTTCGACTTTCCATGAGATTAGATATCACTACGGTGTCAGTTGATGCTTTCATGCTTAATTTTCCATACATGAGGTTAAATATGGGTGTAAATGCTCTTATTAAGAACAAAAGTCAGACAGTGAAAATATGGCTGAAAGCAGCAACGATGTCGTTTATTGAATCACTTGGTCAGAGTTGATGATATTTATAGTAAAATTCTACTCTGTCAAGTCACAAGATAACATTTCACCTTCCTTGTAACCTTTCACCAAGATTGATGGTTTGATCACACACTTTGTTTCTTCAAGTCTGATGGTAATAGTGATGAAGTGAAAAGAGAACAGATGGAAAAATTAGTTCGTGAAGAATTAGAAAGATGGGATTCAGATACTTCTTTTAGCGGTAGTGGTCGAGGGGCATCACCTAGTAGTGGCAACAGTTCCCGCGCGCTCAGAGCACGATCTCGACCTGGTTCAGGAACCAACGTGGTAAGTTAAGAAAAGTTTCTTTCACAGAATATTTGATTTATTAGGAATTTGAGACATTACTGATATCTTATCAAGCTTGTTGTAGAAACTGCGATGGAAGCTTTCCTCATTTAGAGGAGAGGTCTAGGTTGTATTAGAGGAAATTGGAACAAAACTTCTCCAAGTCTGAAATGTTTACAAAAACAATGTAAAGGTGCATCATTACTAGTTGTGAGTTATGGAGGTGGTTTGAAAGTCAATGTTTTCAGAAACAGCCTCGATTATCATTCAGGAAGTTAATAAAAACATTACAGCTTCTGGTCCTGATCAAATCACAAAATGAACAGCTGAGCATTGTAATAGATGCATCCTTATTACGATGATTCACCTCTATTTTACTTCAGAATTAATTCTATATCAAGAATATTATAGGTATACATTACAAGATTCACCTCTATTTTACTTAAGAATTAGTTATATATCAAGAATATTATAGGTAGACATCACAATGATACACCTATTTTATTTAAGAAGTAATTATATGTCATCAATTTTATGGGTATATTTGTTTTTGTTAAAAAGCTCTCCTAAAGAAGCGTATGTATTTAAGGTGTTTCTTTAGCTTTTCATTGGTGTAAACCATTCAATCTCTACTGTTGTATACAATTATCGTTTATGTCTTCCTCAACATTTTTACATAGTCCAGTATAGAGTCTATTATGTGATAATAGTTACGCTGTATTAAGTGTGTCTCATTTCTAATGTTTTGATTATAACAAGCTAATTAAGACCAAAGTTGACAGTAATCCTTTTAGCAAAGCATATGTTTGTGACCTTATATGGGTCAAAGATTTAAGAAATCTCAGATTAGATTGTTGTCTTTGGAAGTAGTACTGTCCAATAAATAACCAGATATAAGGGTATATAGTCATGCTACATTTTATGTATTAAATGCTATACAGTCATTACAAGCTATTCCAGGTGTACTTAAAAAATGGAAGTTATTTTGACACAGTTAGTAAGACACTGTACATCTGTAATATATCAGTATTTTTTTATCCTGGATCTGTACATAGGAAAGCATTTGCCTTCTGATAATAACTTTTCATTTTTGTACAGTGTTCAGCATTAACTCTATTGCCCTCTTTTATTATTACCTTATGAAAACTGCAGCTTTGATAATGTCAAGTAAATACAGGTGAATTGTCTTCTCATTATGTCTTTGTCATCTTCTTTTAGTCCTCTGAAGTCTAATGGTAAATACACTTACTAGTGCTTTACATTTGTGTGTGTGTATTATTTTTTATGTATTTTTTTTTTAAACTCCTAATATCAAGTTTTGCCAATTTTTAGTACTATTGGCTAGGTGACAATACAAAGTGACTCTGTGGAATGAATGAAGATTGAAATTACAAAATAAAAAAGAATCAGTCAGTGATGAGTGAATAGTGAAGAAATATCTGTGTTGTAGTATTCACCATTTGCCTGGGTGTATACACATGTCACATCTACCATAAATGTTAGTAGATCACTTTAGAAATGACCATTGTGCTATGTCCTTTATAAAGATATATATGCCACAGTTGGCATTTTTATTCATGCTCACATTACAAACGATAAATTGTCCATGTCCATGACAGTGTGCTACCACTTGTAACATACATGAATTTTCCACTTGACATTTGAAGGAGTGTTCGGCCCAAGTTGCAAAATTTCTGACTTTTTTGTACCTTTTAAGAATTACTTGTAATGACTTTTGATACTATTATTAGCATCAAAATATCACTCCTATGGTCAGTTGAGATAGAAAAAATTATTAGGAATACTACCAGCCAACTGTCTGAATATAGCGCATCAGGAAATTAGGAATTGAAAGGTCACTGAATCATAGATTTCATAGGAGTATTGTATAAATACAAAAGTGTGTATGCTTTCTCTAAAATTTCATTACTTCTTATAACAATGCAAATCTGTTATGACGTAATCGGGGATGCACAAAAGTTTGTAAATCAACCTTGCTAACTCTAAAGAATTTCCATGAGAATATTAGTAGATGATTTTCTGCAGTTTTCGAAATCTTATGAAATCCTAACTTGTCCTGAACTCCCTTTATGTCAGCAAATTGCCAGTATGTTGCCCACCAATGGCAGTACAGGAAAAATTTCCTTGGTATGAGGACTAGCAAAAGTATGTTGAAACAATCAAGAGAGAGAAAAATATATGTTTGATAAATGATTAGAAGCTTTTATTACAAAATTAACGTTTTGATTATTAAAATCACAGGATGAAAACATAAACATTTCTTAAATGATATTTCCTTTATAATTAGTGATATTTTGTTGATGTCCCTTTTATTAAAGTCTATGTATACATGCAATTTTACTGTGACATACAAGTATATCAAAGCTTGAGGTCAAAGTTGGCTAATACTGTGTATAAAACATTGATATGGATTTTGGTAACGAGGGTTTGTGGCTGTGTGAATATAATTACCTAATGGTCCTTACAGCTTGGTTATGTTGTGTTGTATTCAATTTATGATTATTGTGTTTGTGATATTATTTATCTTTTAAATGAAAAGAATATTTAGAATTTATAGCACTTAATAAAAACATGAAACATTTAAGTAAAAAGTACAACAATTTGTTGTAATTTTCACTTTATTTGTTTTGTAATTGTAGTTGTGTTTTTAGCACTGTAAGCACATCAGTGTTTGTCACTTCTTCAAATATGTTCAATGAATCAAAATGGTTTGATGAAATTATCTTTTAAGATAGAATGGAACTTTAAGTATTAGTTTTAGGTATTCATATCAGACATGTTTATACCATTTGTAAAAGACTAATTGAACAATATGCCTAGTCTAGGTGCAACGTATACTGAGCAAAATGATTTTTTAATTAGCCTAATATTTCTTTCACAATCCACATTATTACACAGATATATACATGACGTAAAATGATAATGCTTAACTAGTATTATTTTTCATTTTCATTTCTTAATTTTGTAGGATTTCATTTATGACAGAGGATACCAAAGCAACGTTTAGACAGAAAACTAAAGAAGTTAACGGTGGAACACAACACAACTCTCTATCATTCCTGCCTGGTGTTATGTATACGTAGATTGGTGTACTTGTTTAACTTTACAATAGTATCTTTTTTTACTTGCTTCAGCGGTTCACAAAGCAAAATCATGACCAGAAAATTATACAAGCAAATGTTTTTTCTCTCAAAGTTATTGGTTGAATGAGATAACAGTTTGGTGACAGAAAAGATGATAAAAGACAGCACACGAACTTCCGAAGAATTTGTAACCCGCAAAGTGGAGATCAAGCTTAGGCGAGTAGTGAAAAATTATCATCTGATTTATACCAGCTATGGTCTATAAACTTCACTGCATAATGATTACCATGGTCAGAATATTATACAGTTAATGTCTATATGGTGTTCAATATTGGAAAGTCTGTCCATTTTAGTGACACTTGTTGTTTCTAACAACACAGCTGAACTTATGCAAACATTTAAGAAAATAAGTTATGCAAATATGTAAGAAAATATTTATTCATTGTAAGTTTATTTTTAATGAAAATCTCTTTCGATTGTTTATGTCAAACTGATGATGTTCAAAGATATGTGAAAAAATATTTCATCAAGAAGTATCAATAGGTATAACTAGTCAGTGATAATTACAAAACAAGAATCAATGAGAGTGATTGAAATATAGTGCTGATTATCTTAACTAAAAAAAAGTGCTCAAACAATCCATATAAGGTTACAATTTATGTAGATACCATCTTCAATCATGGCAAATTTAAGATTCTGGGAAAGGAAAAGTTCCAAACTTATTCCAACAAATACCCTAGGCTACTGTTAACACCTACGCAGGAGAACCATTTCAATTTATTTCAATGTTTTTTTTTTTTTTAATTGTTTTATCTATACATGTTAACTATATGGCTTAGAATGTTATAGAATATATATAGATGTATCAGCTGTAGAATCTCCCCAGAAATGGGATCATTTTAAATGTTTGAGCAGTTTTAGAAAGAGTTATATCATATATTTTAGCAATATGATCTACGATTTTATCTTTATTGTTTGGTACAAACAAAAATTATGTTTACAGTTTAAAGTCCGTCCATTACATTACTGATTTGTGATCATTGATAAGAGTATATACCTAAAATATGAAAGTAATTTATTTTTTCATTTTGGTGATGCTAATGATACAACCATTTTTGGATTTTTAGAAATTGTATTAATTATTGACTCAATTTAAGATTGAGAGCTTCAGTAAATAATCCAGCCCAACGTGTTGTATTTTTTATTCTGAGATTTTTTTCATATTCCTTTGACATGTGGGGAATGCAACTTGTTGATCAGTCCATTGTTATCTCCCTTACCTTGTTCTGTGTGAGAACCTATCACACATGGTTTTATCTAAAAATGTGATGTTAAATGTAAATCAAAAAGTATTAAATTACAATTTACTCCAATTTGATAAAATACTTTTGTGTTCATGTGGAAAGAGTAACATACAGTCTACAATTGTTTTGTTGAATTTTTATTTATGTCTAAAACTTTATACAAATTATCCTCACATTGGTAACTGAACAACAATCCTCAATTGGTCAAGTGTTGAACCATGGGTTGAGGGGCTGCACAATTGTATTAACACTGTCAGAGTATACAGATACTGTACAGACACATAGTCTGTAGCACTATATCAGAAATCCGTCCAAGGAAATATATCTCTTCACCATCCTCACATAGTCTTCTATGTTGGAACTTGCCTATATATACGTGTGTATTAGCGATGTATTTACCAACTGTTACCAAAAAAAGGAAGCTTTTTCATATATAAGCAAGTTGACAAGGAATGCTAAAGTATTTTGATTCTGTGTTTCAAGCTTATATTTAGATCCAGTTTCATCAAAGTATGGGATGTGTTACATAACATTTCCAAAAGGGATGATTGTTGGACTATCTGATGATTGTGAAGAGATGATCTAGACTTCTCTTAATGTGATGTATTTTTATTTTACTGTCTGTATGAGATAGATGTTAATATTTTGTTAATGAGTTGAATAAATATCTTTCAGCAATATATATCTAAAGTCTTTGTTTTTATCTACCCCAACAATCAGCAACTCTTCATTGTTACATGACAATTTTGCATTTTTAGGTCACCTGAGACAAAGTTTATTGGTGACCTGTTCTAATACAGTTCATCTGGTATAAAGCGTCCATAAACAATTTAGCACCCCTGATCCAATTTCAATGAAATTTTGCAGAAACTTTCCTTGGTCTAAGATGAAGCAAAATTTCAAATTATACAGTCTCCACCCACTAGGGGCCTGAGGGGTGAGGCCAAAAGGGCTCAAATTGACTCAGATTTTATAAATCTTCCTCTCAAGAGGTAGAATCAAATACTCTTCATGAATGGAAGCATCTTTAAGTGCTTTACCAAAATTGTGAATTTCATGGTTTCATGGCCCAAGGGTCTCGCATTGCCCCATTGGGAGGGGTTAAAGCTTACTAAAGTTTACATAGGAAAACTAGGTTTATAACATAATTTGTTTAATTTCCATAGGAAATATTTCAAACTTGGTTAGAATTATGAGTGAAGGATGATGACTTGATGGTATGCCCATTTTGATCCTGACTGACCCCAGGTGGGGCTGAAAGGGGTCAAATTGACTTTAAAAGTCTTCTTTTCCAGATCCAGATATGGTAGAATCAAATACTTGTTATGAATGGCAGCATCTTCAGCTGCTTTAATTACCAAAATGAGTCACATTTCTTCCTTGGGAGGAATCCTTTTTTTAGACTATACTGTAATTTTCATGGAAAAATAGTTTTTTTGAGCATAACATTGGTTATTTTCCACTGGAAATAACTTTATAAGAATTATCAGTATAGGATGACACAGCCTTACTATATTCAATGTCATAAATTCTGTTTCCTGACACTTGATAACTATCCTTTAACCTTTGTATTCAATATTACTTATTTTGTCGGAAATGTAGATAACTTCTCATGTTTTTAGTCCACCATCATCAGGTGGAGGACTGTTCCAGTAGTCCTTCATCTGTCATCAGTCTGTCTTTAGCAGTTCTTGTTATCACTATTTTATGAGAAGGTCTTAATGAATCATTCCTCCTTGGTCCCAAGTGAGTTCATTTGAATATGAACTGAAAATGTTTTTATTAATGGAAAATGTATACAGCCAAATGACACCCTTATTGGATTTTGACATTATTAGTAACTGCTATTACTTGAGAACTACCGGATAGATAAATTTCTGATTTAATATATAGGATCCTCTTTGTCCCTTGCTTTTGTTCACAATCTGTTTTGGGACTATTAGAAAAAGAATATGGTGACAGGCAACCCAATTGGATTTTGATACTTATGGTTTGTTAACACTATTTCTTGAAAAGCACTGGATAGATTATTCTAGATTTCTTTTGTTCCCCTTGGGCCCTTGTCAAACATTTCCCATTTTAGGGCTGATGAGATTTTTAGTCCACCACAGGGAATTTTTCCCTTTGACCTACATCAAACAAAAAAATTTGTCAGGCCTTATCTGCTACACTACTCACGTAGGAACTTCATACTTGTGTCACATACCAAAATCAGGTTACCCTGACCTATATTTTGCCCTTTGACCTACATCAAAGAAATATTTGTCCATATGGTTAATTGTTAATTTACATTCAAATACAACATGATTATGAGCAAATAACAAAAAAGAAGAGAGAAGATCTTAGAGTACTGATAAAGATCATGCGATGGTGGACATCAAGATCCTGCTAGGATCTCTTGTTTAGTTAAATGGTGTGTGTAATATTTCCAACTTCATATGCACTTACATTTGATCAGTTTTGTGTTTAGCAGTTAGTGATGGTTTTTAGTGGTGCATCATCATCAGTCAATGTTCTGTCAATAACTAAGTGGCCTTACAATTATAATATTAAGCTAGTAGCAGGCTACAGTGAAGGGCTTTCAAGTTTGTCCAAATGCCTGACCTCAATTCACTAAGGTCACAGGGGTCAAATATGTTAAAACATGGAAATAACTTCATGATATTTGGCCAGTAACATGCTTGAATGAGGTCTATCAACTTTATTAGATTTACCTTTCAGGTCACATTTAACAATTACACAATAGAATTGATTATAAGGTCTTTTTCCTTGATGACCCATTAAAACAGTTTAACGACATTATTTCAGTTGTTGACTAAAAATAAAAACATGGGTTTCATTTAAAAATATCAAGCATTAACAGAAATTATTTTGTCTTAAAAGTTACCATGTTAAATTTGAAGATTAAACTTTCTACTACTGTTCATTTTAATTATTTTGAAAGGATTAGGTATGTACTTTTTGAGAAAACACTTAAAAGCCAAGTAAATACAGAAAGGCAAATTAACTCCTTGCTAAGATTTACGAAGAGGTATACAACATAGGTAGTCTATTGTCCCTATCAATAAACAAGAAGTCTAAGGTCAAGATATTGGGCAGGTTTGATAACTAGCATATTGGAAGAAAGTTATCTGAAATTCGTTCAAAGGTAACAAGTGTTTTATATATGTAATTTGTTATAGGAAGACAGATCAGACAAACATCACTGCTCTAGAACACTTGTTCAGTAAGTTATGGCACAAACATCAGTACGATCATCACTACCATAGGATACTTAGTTGTTACATCACCTGGCCCAAAGTGCCGAGTGAGCTACAGGGATACTGCAGCGTTGGTTGTCCATCAACTTTTCATATAAATTGCTACTTATCATGAATGCCTGAGCAGATTTTAACTAGATTTGCTCTGAAGCATTCTTGGTTGAAGGGGAGTCCGTTTTGTATAAACGGTGGGTCTGGAGTCTGAGGTGGGGCCCAGTGGGTAAAATTTATCAATTTGTTTTAAATCTATCTTGTTCTTTAGGAATTGCAGGATATTGCCCAAATTTGGTCAGAAGTATGCTTTGGTGAAGGGAAATAAGTTTTGTATAATTGGTGGGTCTTGGCCCCCATGGGCCAGAGAGGCAGTGCCCAGTGGGGAAAATCTTTCAGTTTCTTTAAAATCTATCTTGTTCTTCAGGAAGGGAATGCTATTGTTCAAACTTGGTTGAGCATGCCTAAATGAAGCGAAATTAGTTTTGTATAAAAAGTGGGGAAAATCTATTAATTTCTTTTAAATCTGTTTTTATCCTTTCTGGACGAAGGGGAATAAGTTTTATATAAATGATGGGTCTCTGCCCGCTGGGGCTCCATAGGGGAAATAGAGCAAATGCTTTAAAATCCTACTTCTGTTGGAACTGAAGATATCTTTGATGAAGAAAACTTAGTTTTGTACAAACATTGCATCTAATCCCCTTTGGGAAGTGTACAGACTTTAGAGACCTTCTGGGCCTCTTGTTCAGTAGATACAGGACAAACATCACTACACTGTCTTCTTTTTAGTAAAAATCAGCATAAATATTACTATCTTAGAACACTGTTGTTATTACACTACATTACAAATACACTACTGTAGGACACTGTTGTTATTACACTACAGTACAGATACACTACTGTAGGACACTTTTGTTATTACACTACATTACAAATACACTACTGTAGGACACTTGTTATTACACTACAGTACAAATACACTACTGTAGGACACTGTTGTTATTACACTAAAGCACAAATACACTACTGTAGGACACTGTTGTTATTACACTACAGTACAAATACACTACTGTAGGACACTGTTGTTACACTACAGGACAAATACACTACTGTATGACACTGTTATTACACTACAACACAAATTCACTACTGTATGACACTGTTATTACACTACAGTACAAATACACTACTGTAGGACATTTGTTACACTACAGCACAAATACACTTCTGTAGGACACTGTTATTACACTACAGTACAAATACAGTACTGTAGGACACTGTTGTTATTACACTACAACACAAATACACTACTGTCGGACACTGTTGTTATTACACTACAACACAAATACACTACTGTAGGACACTGTTGTTATTACACTACAGCACAAATACACTACTGTAGGACACTGTTGTTATTATACTACATTACAAATACACTACTGTAGGACACTGTTGTTATTACACTACAGTACAGATACACTACTGTAGGACACTTTTGTTATTACACTACATTACAAATACACTACTGTAGGACACTTGTTATTACACTACAGTACAAATACACTACTGTAGGACACTGTTGTTACACTACACAAATACACTACTGTAGGACACTGTTGTTATTACACTAAAGCACAAATACACCACTGTAGGACACTGTTGTTATTACACTACAGTACAAATACACTACTGTAGGACACTGTTGTTACACTACAGGACAAATACACTACTGTATGACACTGTTATTACACTACAACACAAATACACTACTGTAGGACACTGTTGTTACACTACAGCACAAATACACTTCTGTAGGACACTGTTATTACACTACAGTACAAATACGCTACTGTAGGACACTGTTGTTATTACACTACCACACAAATACACTACTGTCGGACACTGTTGTTATTACACTACAACACAAATACACTACTGTAGGACACTGTTGTTATTACACTACAGCACAAATACACTACTGTAGGACACTGTTGTTATTACACTACAGTACAAATACACTACTGCAGGACACTGTTGTTACACTACAGCACAAATACACTTCAGTAGGACACTGTTATTACACTACAGTACAAATACAGTACTGTAGGACACTGTTGTTATTACACTACAACACAAATACACTACTGTCGGACACTGTTGTTATTACACTACAACACAAATACACTACTGTAGGACACTGTTGTTATTACACTACAGTACAAATACACTACTGCAGGACACTGTTGTTATTACACTACAGTACAAATACACTACTGTAGGACACTGTTGTTATTACACTACATTACAAATACACTACTGTAGGACACTTGTTATTACACTACAGTACAAATACACTACTGTAGGACACTGTTGTTATTACACTAAAGCACAAATACACTGCTGTAGGACACTGTTGTTATTACACTAAAGC